CCTTTTCTTTTCCCTACCATTCTTTTCTTAGCATAAACTACTTAAAAGACCTTTATTAATGTAATAAGGTATGATTTTCCACCCATTCCAACCACCAGTGCAATAGAAGGTGCATACTAAATGGAGAAATGCCAGAATCATTTTCTAATTTTCCCTTGGCTTTTCTCTTGTTTCCTTTCAGGGTGGCTGGTTAGGCGATTTTTTTTTATTACAGCCCTGAATCTCAGAGTTGCTGTCCAGAAAGAGGCCTGCATTTTTGTTAGTCAACAATAGTGTTTGAAACTATTGGCATATTTTAACCAGCGGGCTCTTCCTCATTTTCAAAGTTTCCCCATAGTACTGTGCCAGTGCACTGCTTACACTTCTTTCTCCCGCTGTAGACTTCGTACAGCTTGTCAGCATGCGGGATATAGCTCAGGCTACTATTAAATTGAGTGTGCCATCCTCAAATAGCGTGAGCACAATCGCCATTTAGTAAAATAAACATGGCCCCATTATTTCTTAATGTCTTGCCTAACAACTTTAAGATTAGACCACGTCTCCCATACTCCCACTAGGCAGCACTTAAGCAGTGAGTAATATTTCTGTCTGCAGTAGTCGAGTAATCCCAAATGTAAGTAATTTACAGGATGGCATTAGGGACCGTTACAAGAGACATATTGTAATATGTCACAGAAAATCAGCCTGCCTTTGCACGTTTGATCAACAGCCAGATGGAAGCTTTTATCACATTTATTTAATCTGAAATATACATAGTAATTACACTGGACCTCTGATTTTTTCAGTCCTCATTGCTGTCTCAAGAGAAGGTAGGAAATGAATCTGTCATTTGCAAACGAGTGTAGATGTGACCCCCTTGGTAGAATTTGGATATACTGCAGCTAGCAGTGTTGACAGTAGGGATCATGAGCACTGCTAGAAATGAATGCAGTCAGTTGAGTTAAGAAAAGAATAGGCCCATAAAAAAAAAAAAGAAAACTCTTAAGTTTGTGTTTGTTTGTTTTCGTATGAATAAAGGAAAGCAAAGATCAACTTGTTCTTCACAATCCATTACCAATGAATGGCGTTAAGAGCACACACATTCTGCTACTAAAAGCTGGGTGGTGTTGTTTAACTTTAAGGCATCTGAAAACAGCAAAGTCTTAGTGTTCCCAGGGGAGAATTTAAGATACTGAATTCCATCAAGCATATCATTATTAATGAGGAAAATATTGTTTCTTCCATTAGTACGGAGATGGCATAAAGAATTGATAGCATTAAATTAAACCACGGGCAAAAATTCAAACAAATTGAACATGTTTTTATTGCTTGGACAGAAATTTCACTAATGCATATTGCTATTGTCCCAAAGAACTTACGTAGGATTTTATGCCCTAATTAAAATGGTTATAAAAGATTGTTTAAATAGTTAATAGGGATACTCACCTTCCTATCAATAATTTACTATTCTTTTATGTTACTCTGTATTACAGAAGACTATTTCAGGTAATGTCTCTCACATTTCTGTTTCTGAGATGAGGTAGGTCAGTCAGCATCCTCTTTCCGATCAGTTGCCCTAAGCACGAGTATGCCTGGCTAATCTTTTAGAGATATATTGACAGATAAAATATGCTGTAGACTGCCAAAAAAGAAATTCCTTTACAATTACTCACACAGAGTAGTCCCACAGCAGATTAAATTACTATTCAGCATGAATAAGCATGTCAGATTCTGGCTTTAAGTGGATGGTTTTACTGGGATGATTTGGTGTCATTATAGGCTTATAATTGTTCTAATCTGATTGGGTAAAAAAACAGTATGACAATCATAAAGAATTCA